GTAATTTTATTTTTATTTATTTGATTGCTATAATGTTTGAGTGTTTTTTTAAGTGTTTGATTTATTAATAATATTATGAGATTAGATTATTGAGTATTGAAAATTTTAGTTTTATTTGATTGTATTAAGTTTATTTTTTAGATGACGGTTTCAACTTCTACACATCTTAAGATTCTTAGTAAAGTTGTTGGATCAAATAAATGTCCGTTGAAAGTTTCATTAGTTGGTATTGTTCAAGAGGCGTCTGATTTTAAACATGGAGAAAATGCAATCATTAAAGTTATGGTGACAGATTATTCTCGTCGAGATTACAATTTTATAGTTATTGTTGTATTTCAATATTTAGAATCACAGTTTAAAGGATTAACAAGTCATATTCGTTCGAGTGAAACAGTGGTTTTTGTTGTTGGCCAGTTAGAGTTTATAGACAACGACATTTATGTTTATGCGCAAGATATTAATTGGGTAGATACTCGGTTTAATATTAAGAAAAGAGAATATAAGATTAGTAAAGGGGAAATTCTGTCATCAACAAAGTCAACTCGGTCTAAACTCTTGTAGATTCATCAAAATATTAGTAAAGGGGTTGAGGAAACATTTAAGGTTTGTATTTGATATTTAACTGATTTTTAGTTATTTATTTTATAATTAAATAATTTTATGTGTTACAGCGTGTTAAGATCGAAAGCGCAAATAAAATTAGTGAAGATATGTTAATAGGTGGTGATGTTGATAGTTTGGGTGTTGATGACGAGTTAGTAAATAACAAGGCGGATGATGATTTGATTGAAATTGAACAAGATAATAAGGATGGGAATCAGAAAATTAGTGAACGTAAAGAAAAGTTTAAGAGTAGTAATAAGAAAGGTAAAGAGCGAGCTGTTCATAAAGTAGTTCATAACACCAGGTCGTCTAGTTTTAAGATAGATGTTGATAATGAAAGCGAGTAAGGATGTATAAGTTTTTTTTTTTTTGAAATATTTTATATAATTGAAGTATAAATAAGGGGAATATTTCGAAACGGGTATGAGTCTATATGCGCGTGTTAAGTTGGGTTATTTATTGATGTTCGTCACATTTTGATTATTACATTATTATGTAGATTAAAGAGGATTAGTGTTTTCATATTATTTGATGGATTTATTTTTAGTTAGAATCTTGTGTGTGATTTATCGTGTGAGATGTTTGAGAATACTATGGAAAAAAAGTTAAAACGAGTGAGTTAAATGCTTTGATTAATAAATATGCGATTGAACAAAAAGTGTTAATATGAGTGAGAAAAGTAGTGCTTATCTTAAATACTTTGATCAGATTAATATATGACA